CTGTAATCCCAATACTTTGGGAGGTTGAGGCGGACAGATCACTTGAGGTTAGGAGTTTTAGACCAGCCTGGCCAACATGGTGAAACCCTGTCTCTACTAAAAATACTAAAGAAATTAGCCAGGTGTGGTGGCAGGAGCCTGTAATCCCAGTTATTTGGGAGGCTGAGGCAGGAGAATCACTTAAATCCGGGAGGCGAAGGTTGCAGTGAGCCAAAATTGCACCACTATACTCCAGCCTGGGCGACAGAGCAAGACTCGGTCTCAAAAAAAAAAAAAAAATCCAGGCATGAGGACATGTGCCTGTAGTCTCAACCACTCAGGAGACTGAGGCTGGAGGATAGCTTGAGCCCAGAGCCCAAGAGTTAAGGGCTGCAGTGAGCTAGGATCGCACCACTACACTCCAGCCTGGTCAACACAGTGAGACCCCGTTCCCTGAAAAAAGAAACTTGCTCTGGGTCCCCATGGCAATGGAGAATGACAGAATGATAGAAGTGATCTGATTGGAATGCTGGGCTCTTCTGATGGCTAGTAGCTCACCTGTTTGATGATATATGTTAGCTCTTCAATTTCCACCGCTTTATCATCAAAGAGGGACTTCCGCTTTGCCACTACAGAGATAAACAAGAAGCTGCAATGGGTGAGGTGAAAGACAAAGCTCAGGAAATACAGTCCTCAGCCCTCTGCGATATACTACTGCCCCACTTCTGAAAGACCCCAAGAACACTCACAGATTGTCAGCTTCTCCAGCTTGGCAAATGTGTTGCTAAGGTCTTTCCCAATGCGCCTGCAAACGACCACTAGTGAGACTGTGGGAAAGGGCAGAAGAACGCCTTTTCCCACATAAGCTCCAGCACAACCAATCCCAGATTTCACAGTCAAGGTCACTGAAGGCAAGCCTACTTTTCTTCAGACACTGTATCACCCCACCAGAAAGCTTCTCTCAACTCACTTGGCCATGAGGGTGAATTCACTGCGCTGTCGGACAGCACGCAAAGCTGGCTTATTTGTCTGGATTCCATTCTGAAAAGCAATGGCAGGAGGTGACAACTTTAGTTCCCTCTTCCCCAGTTCCAGTTTTCACTCTTCCTCAGGTGTCCACTAAACTATCTCTAGTACTGGTGGCATCCATCGATGATCTAAATTTACCAGTGGTAGTGGTTTAGACTCCAGATTTGAAGACAAGTAGACCTGAGTTCAAATCTTGACTCACGGCCGGGCGCGGTGGCTCAAGCCTGTAATCCCAGCACTTTGGGAGGCTGAGACGGGTGGATCACGAGGTTGAGAGATCGAGACCATCCTGGTCAACATGGTGAAACCCCGTCTCTACTAAAAATACAAAAAATTAGCTGGGCATGGTGGCACGTGCCTGTAATCCCAGCTACTCAGGAGGCTGAGGCAGGAGAATTGCCTGAACCCAGGAGGCGGAGGTTGTGGTGAGCCGAGATCGCACCATTTGCACTCCAGCGTGGGTAACAAGAGCGAAACTCCGTCTCAAAAAAAAAAAAAAAAAAAAAAAAAAAAAAAAAAAAAAAATCTTGACTCACTACTTAGTAGCTAGGGGTTTTGGGGACTAGTTACTTAAAACATTCTGAATCTCTATTTCCCCTTCTGTAAAAGAAAGACAATCCACATCTCTCCGCTTCTTGTTGCTAAGATTAAATAACAAAAAGGCTGAAAAGTACTTTCATCAACTACTTGGTACATTGGTACACTGTAAGCACTAAATAAATGGTAGCTAGTATTGCCATTCTATTCCTCAAATCGGGAAATCAGTGAGGATGACTGCAAAGTTCTTGGAGATCACATAGAAGAGCAGCTTTACCAAGCGATGAACAGTAAAAAAAAAAAAAACTTTTAGCCGGGCACGGTGGCTCAAGCCTGTAATCCCAGCACTTTGGGAGGCCAAGGTGGGTGGATCACGAGGTCAAGAGATCGAGACCATCCTGGTCAACACATGGTGAAACCCCGTCTCTACTAAAAATACAAAACATTAGCTGGGCATGGTGGCGCGTGCCTGCAATCCCAGCTACTCAGGAGGCTGAGGCAGGAGAATTGCCTGAACCCAGGAGGCGGAGGTTGCAGTGAGCCGAGATCGTGCCATTGCACTCCAGCCTGGGTAACAAGAGTGAAATTCCGTCTCAAAAAAAAAAAAAAAAAAAAAGAGACACAGAGCCTTGCTCAGCCTTCTAAGTAGCTGGGACTACAGGCACATGCCACCACATTCAGTTTTTTTTTTTTTGTAGAGACAGGGTCTTGCTTTGTTGCCCAGGCTGCTCTCTAACTCCTGGCCTCAAGCGATCCTCTGGCCTAGGCCTCCCAAAGTGCTGGAATTACAGGTATGAGCCACCACATCCAACCCATTGATTTTGATACAAATTACTGATCACCACTGCATCCAACTCATTGATTTTGATACAAATTACTGATCTAGGGCAGGTGTGGTGCCCAGACCAACCTGAGCAACATAGTGAGATACTGGCTATATGAAAAAAATTTAAAAGTTAGTAGTGTGGTACATCCATGTAGTCCCAAATTAAGTGACCAGGAGGCTGAGGTAAGAGGATCCCTTGAGTACAGGAGTTCAAATCTGCAGTGAACTATGATCACGCCACTACATGCCAGCCTGTTGACAGAGCTGAAATTAGATCTCTAAACAAAACAGAAACAAAACAACAAATTACTGATCTAGAAAAATGTCCTTCATCTTACAGAGATTAAAAACTAAGACATAACTAGATTAACTAATTTTCTCATGGTTACAGAGCAAACTTATAGTAGGCGTATACTGGAAAACTCAAGGTGCATGTCTCTCAGCTAAAGGCTCTTCCTAGAACTTGTTCCTTATTCACACCAATTATATTGCAACCAAGCCTGGCACTAAAGTACTCCCTCCAGAACAGCAATCCTGCACTCCAGGGGATTCCTCATTAAAAAATGTCTAAGTCCTTGCCTCTAATTAGCCAGCCGACCTCTTTCTTCTCTGTTGCTTATAGCAGACCCTACCAGCCCCTTCCAAGCCTATCAGTTCCATCAGGTTTCCCCAAGAATTACTTCAGTTAACAGGAGCACAGTCCTTCCCAGATTTGAGTAAGAGTCACTCCTTGCCTTTTCCACTCCAGGTCCTTACCTGACGGCTCTGCAGCGACTTGCAGGCAGACAGAAACTCCTGGGTCCGATCCCGGCAGGACATGGTGTCGGGAGTGGGAGGGACGAGGGCCACTGGGGGGGGCACAGGGGCGATGTCGCTGCTGCTACTGCCAGCAGTTGCAGGGGACAGGACCTGTGTCTTTGAGAGACCCAGGTAGACACCCTGATCCGTGTTCTTAGACCCGTAGCGTTTCCGCGGGATCATTGAGACGCATAACCTCGCACTGTTGTGGAGGGGAGAGTGTCATTCCCCAGGCAGCTTCTTCTCCCAAACTCCCCCGCCCCGCCCCAATCAACAAATCCTCGAGCCCCTTCTGCACTTTTTAAAGACTTTCGCGCCCAAGGCGCTCGCAGATCCTGGAACAGGCCCGCAGCGGAAAGGGCCTTGATTTTCCCCTGCCCCAAGTCGAACCCTCTTCAGACTCTTCTTCCAACTTGGCTCTGGCGGCCAAAACGCGGGCCGAGGGCCCTGAAGCAGAGACAGGGCTCGAGCCAAGTCCTGTGGCCCTGAGACTCCGGCCTGGCCCGTGTAACTGCCCCGGGCCCTACCCAGCCCTTTTTTATCTGCGGTTTCCTTCGGCCAGGGAGAGCGGGTGACGGACCTCCAGAGAGTGACACACTTCGGTGGGCGGAGGGGGAAACCTCCGGGTGTTTATTTGAAACAGGAAGTCCCACCCCCCGCCCAAGGTCCGCCTTCTGGAAGACTTCAACCACTCATTAGCTAAGGCCGACGTCTCTTTCAACAGAGGCTTTCCTGATTGGACGGCAAGGAATTCGCTCACCGGGAGCCGGGCCGGCAGGACTTGCCCGCTCGCCCCTGGTTCCCTTCCCCCCGCCAGTCGTCGCCCCCGTAAAACCACTGTCCCGGAGCCGACACGGCGTCCAGATCCCCTCTTAGAGCGAATCTTACCTCCCCTCTGCCGCCTGCCACCGCCGCCACTGCCAATGTCCCCGGCCGTCACCGCCTCCTCCCTGGGCACCTAAGCCGCCGAAACCCGACCAAAGACTGGAAGCGGCCACGTCACCCACACGTAGCCCCACCCCCGGTAGCGAGGGGGCGGTCCCACACGTTTTCGAGTCCTGCTATCCGAGACACGCCCCCCACCAAACGCAAGAGCAACCCCACCATCCCATTGGCTAAGATAACACCATGACCCCGCCCCTGAAGACCACAGCCGGAGCCCAGGAGGCTGGGCCTGCCTCCGGGGAGGAGCCTTAAAGAGCCAGCCGCCCGGTGGTGTCTGCGCCCCGTCCCCAGAATGGTCTTGCAGGTCCACGTTAGAAATTTTATTCTCCGGAGGTTCGGGCGGACTAAGAGCGAGTCTGGAGTCATCCCTTCTCCGGTTCCTCCTGGTTGCCTTCTCGGATCGGAGTCTCCTTCTTCCGAACCACGTCTGATTGCCTCTTGCTTGACCGCGAGGAGCCCCGACGACTGAACAAGGATAGCCGCCGCCACAGCACAGTGATCAGAAGGCTATCGCTCGACTTTTGATTCCGGTGGTCTGGGGAGTTCAAGTCGGTATTTTCGGCGCCTGAAGGGACGACGAGGCCTCTGAGCTCAGTCCTACCCTCAGGAAGCCGCCTCCCCCGCTCCCTGGGCCCTCTTCGTTTATTTGTGGCCTCATCTTCCCCGAGCTCCGAGGACTCTTCCTGCTCATCAGACATCTGAAAGTCCTTGTCTTGGCAGCAGCCCATGGCCCCGGGCGGCCCCAGACTCTGTGCCACCCACGCCAGTCTGCCTGGCTCCAGGCCCGGCTTTGTGACGTCAGATATCCCATCGCCCCAGTTCAGGGAGCCCCCACCCCAAGCTACCCCTCATTCCTTTCTCCCATCACAAAAGGCTCAGAGTCATAGTGGGTGTTTTGCTGTTTATTTACAAACTGGGCACAGAGGCGTCAGGGGCTGGTGGACCCAGGTCGCTTCTTCTTTCTCCGTCTGGTTTGGAGAGCTCCTTGGGTCTGCTCCAAATCTGAGAGCTTCCGCTTGGCAGCTGCCTCCAAGGATGCCCAAAGTTCATCTGTCTCTGTGTCTTCTAGGGGCACCTTGTTGGGTTCTTGAGGTTCTTGGGGCTCATCCTGGCGAGTGGGAAGAAAGCTTCAGTCAATGGGGCTCGGCACAGTGGCTCCCACCTGTAATCTCAGCACTTTCAGAGGCCAAAGCAGGAGGATTGTTTGAGCCCAGGACTTAGCGACCAGACTGGGTAACATAAGGAGACCCCATCTCCACAAAAAGAAGTAAAAAAAAAAAGTCAGGGGCACATGGACACATCCATAGGGAAGGAGACTCTGGCTGAGAAATAATCCTTCTGGGTACCACCACCTTTATTCCCCACTCCCAGAAAGCAGCACCATCCATGTTCTTGGCAATAACCCTCTCAGGATTTTAACTGTTAATGCCTCTCAGAGAAATTAAGTGACTAGACAGGTAAACAGAGGGTCCCAGGTCTGCATTCCAGCTGCCTCCTTTTCCTCTCCATAGGGAGGTCCTCACACCTATGCCCTTGGCTCCCACATTCCTGACCCAACTGCTCACCTCCCAGTTGTCCCTGTCTGACAGGAGGAGGCAGTTCAATTGAGACTTGAGATAAACCTGCAAAAGATGAGAGGCCTTAAGGAGCCAGGCATGCTAAGACAGAAACATGAATGGGGGCACAGGAGGCTGGGCCTCCACAAGACCATGAGTTGGGGGTAGGAGGGATGACTTACCTTATGTTCCAGACCCCGTGGATTCTGGATCCTGTGTATCCTTAAGACTCTGTCCAAGCCACAGGAGGCTAGTAGAGGTTTGGAAGGGTGGCACTGCAACCCACGGACACTGCCTGCCAGCCCCTTCAGACAGCCCAGTAGACGCCCTGAAGAAGCGGGGGAAGAATCAGGTTAACTGGCTGGCCAATAACCAACCATTTATTGTTTTCTGTTTCAATCACTTTCCATTTCAACACTTAATCTTCAACAAAACCCTGAGACTAGAGCGTCTACTAATATTTCCATTTCGAAGGTGAGGAAACCAAGGCACAGGGAGTTGAAATAATTAGTTTAAGGTTGGGCCAGGTGCGGTGGCTCACACTTGTAATCCCAGTACTTTGGGAGGCAGAGGAGGGTGGATCACAAGGTCATTGAGTTCAAGACCAGATTGGCCAACATGGTAAAACCCTGTCTCTACTAAAAAATACCAAAAAAATTAGCTGGGCGTGGTGGCTCATGCCTATAATCCCAGCTACTTGGGAGGCTGAGGTAGGAGAATTGCTTGAACTGGGATCAGGGAGGTGGAGGTTGCAGTGAGCTGTGATTGCACCACTGCACTCCAGCCTGGGCTACAAAGCAAGACTCCATCTCAAAAAAAAAAAAAAAAAAAAAGAAAGAAAGAAAATAGTTTAAGGTGATACAGCTTTTGGGGAAACCAGGATTTGAACCCAGGCAATTTGGCATGGGCATGTGGCCCCACTGCACCACCTTAGAGGGAATCCTAACCCTTATCCCTGCTCCTTCCTTTCCCCAAACATACCCTAGTCCACTTACCTTGCCGAAGGTCAATTTCTGCCAGCTGCCCATGAGTGTTTCCCACAATCACTGAGCTAAGAATAAGACCAGAGGCAGGCAGGGTCAGCAGTAACCTCCTGGAGCCCTTCCCAAGCCCCACCTTCCCATGCCTTCCCCTCTAAACACTCACTTGCCTCCAGGAGTGAGGGTCATGGCTGTCAGTGGGTACTCTCCATAGGTGGTCTCTAGGACTGGCCGGCGCTGAGGGGAGGCTGGATCATAGACACGGACCTAGAGGCAGGCTGAAGCATCACAAAGTATCCTCACCCTGCACCCACCCTCTGACATCTCTGTATCCTCACCCTGTCCCTGCACACTGCTTTATTTATGACCCACTGTCAGAGAAACTTTTTTTTTTTTTTTTTGAGACGGAGTTTCGCTCTTGTTACCCAGGCTGGAGTGCAATGGCGCGATCTCGGCTCAACGCAACCTCCACCTCCTGGGTTCAGGCAATTCTCCTGCCTCAGCCTCCTGAGTAGCTGGGATTACAGGCACGCACCACCATGCCCAGCTAATTTTTAGTATTTTTAGTAGAGACGGGGTTTCACCATGTTGACCGGGATGGTCTTGATCTCTTGACCTCGTGATCCACCCGCCTCGGCCTCCCAAAGTGCTGGGATTACAGGCATGAGCCACCGTGCCCGGCCTAGAGAAACTTTCTCATCTTAGATGTATGCCTCTTTTTTGAGCATTGGGGTGTTGGAAGAGCTGCTTGGCAGTATGAATGGACAGAGCTGAGAGGAGAGGTCCCCCAGGTTGGAAATGTGTGAGCATTCCACCCCCCATACTCCCATCTAGGGAAATGAAGGGATGGAAAACAAGTCAGTCCAGTAGGCAGTGGGTACTAAATTTCAAGCAGAGGTCAGCCTGAATGAAGGAGGAGAGAGAATGCCCTTATATGTGTTTTGAGCAGAGGCATATGACCAAGATCAGACTACAATGTGGAGAAGCAAAGGAAACAGGACAAATACAGTGACCCACCCCTGCCTATGTCTCAAGCCCTGAAATGAGACAAGCCATAAAGATTCCCCATTGGGGCCCTTCATGTAAAGCTGAGGAGCTGAGGCCAGAGATGGGAGGTTCCGGACTGGGTCCCAAAGTAAGTCAGAGAGGCTGCACCAGGACCAGAACCCAGTTCTCTTAACACCTAACCCAATGTCTTCTGACACCTGCACCCTATAATTCCCACTGTGAAGGGGGTCCACTCTCCTCTCTTCCAGGTAGGAGGAAAACAGGCATAGTTCAGGAAACTCTATCCTAGAATGTAATAAAGGAAGGTCATGGGCTCAGTGGCATGGCTGGAACAGATGGGGAAGCACTTGCTCCTCTGAGCTCAGGATGGTGAGAAGGGCACCTATGCCAAACTGTGGAGGCCATCTCTCTAAGAAGCTGCTTTATCCCAGGAGAAGGTAGGAGAGAGGTGGCACCTTACCTGATGGTACCCTGTACAGGTGACAAGCTTCTGTGATCCTGGGAGAAACTGTATGTCCTGGTCCCAGATGGGAACTCGCAAGTCCAGCCAGTCATTCCGCACCTGGTGGAGTGGGCAGATGGGGACAGGGCTGTGGGGGGCTCAGTGTGCCCCTCCTTTCATCCCTCCTTTACCCCCTAAAGTCCATCTAGTCTCAGACCCATAGTAGCCTCAGCCTCCCTCAACTTCAGGACCAGCTCCTCCACACTCTTGTCACTCACGTTCTTGGCCCTGAACACAGGTTCCTCAGAGCCCTGCAGGTCCCACATCTTCAAGGCATTCTCTTTCCCACCTGTGGCAACCACATGGGGGTGTGCTGGGTCTTGGCGCATCCTACACACCCCAGGGCCCACTCTCACTTCCAGGAGCTGAAAAGAAGGGAGAGGGAGATAAGAGTCTGTTCCAGAGTCCTTAATCCTCCCTTCCCCAACATGATCATCAGGCTCCTACCCCAGCCCCCTCCCCCAACCATCAGGGCAGAGGAGCCTCACTGGGTCGGAGGATATGTCCTTGTCATTGTCATGCCATACTCTGAGAATCCCAGAATCCACACATGTGATGATGGTGCTGCAGACAGAGAAAGGGTAGAGTTGAGATTTTTTTTTTTTTTTTTTTTTTTTTTGAGACGGAGTTTCGCTCTTGTTACCCAGGCTGGAGTGCAATGGCGCGATCTCGGCTCACTGCAACCTCCGCCTCCTGGGTTCAGGCAATTCTCCTGCCTCAGCCTCCTGAGTAGCTGGGATTACAGGCACATGCCACCATGCCCAGCTAATTTTTTGTATTTTTAGTAGAGACGGGGTTTCACCATGTTGACCAGGTTGGTCTCTATCTCTCGACCTTGTGATCCACCCACCTCAGCCTCCCAAAGTGCTGGGATTTACAGGCTTGAGCCACCGCACCCGGCCCGAGATTTTTTTTTAAGTGCTTAAACTCCTTGTTCTAATCTTTCTCCCCATCTCACTACTATACTTGACTAATGTTTAAATTTTTTTTAAAAAGTATAAATGTGTTGTCTAGGCCCCAAACTCGTATCAACCAGATTCCCTCCTAACAGTTCAGTTCAGAAGATAACCTCTAGGTCACTGGGCTCTAGGCAGGATTTGACAGCTTCCAACTTCCTAATCTGTTAATTCAACTTACTCAACACGGTGAGGGTTTACCAAGTGAGGAAACAGAAGCTCTGAGAAACTAATTTGCCACTCAGCTATGAATGTTACAAGAGCTGGAAATCAACTCTGTAATATTCCAGTGTGCTTTTGCTGTTCACAGATATATCTAACAACCTGCTGTGCTGGTCTATCTGAATCTTGAGTTGCTTACCAGGACTCAGGATCAGCAGTTCTAAAAGGATTGACTGAAATGGAATTGGTCTGAATTTAGGGTTTGGCCAAAGCCAAACACCAGCTTCTTGTGTTCCTTGCTCTGGGCTTCAGGCACTAAATGTCAGTCTCTTGCCTAAAATACCCCACCCAAGATGTCCAAGCAAGCCTTTCCCCAGGAGCTGCACAGATGTTGGGCCTATGTTCTTTCTCACACCTGCCAACCCTCCCCAACTGGGTTGAGGCTCTGTATTGGCTTCCCTGGGCTGTGGCAAAGTCTCCCAGTTGCTCTGTCTCCAATCCATCCTCTATACTCCTATAGGCTCCCAGTGCTGACCAGGGTACTTCCTGTTCAAAAACTAAAAACTCAGGCAGGCGTGGTGGTTCACGCCTATAAACCCAACACTTTGGGAGGGCAAGGCAGATCACCTGAGGTCAGGATCCAGACCAGCCTGGCCAATATATAGTGAAACCCTGTCTCTACTAAAAAATACAAAAATTAGCTGGGCATGATGGCACACACCTATAGTCCTAGCTACTTGGGAAGCTGAGGCAGGAGAATAGCTTGAACAAGGGAGCTGGAGGTTGCAGTAAGCCAAGATTGTGCTGTTGCACTTCACCCTGGGTGACAGAGCAAGACTCTGTCTCTCAAAAAAAAAAAAAAAAAAAAAAAAACAAGGCCAGGCACATTGGCTCACACCTGTAATCCAGCACTTTGGGAGGCTGAGGAGTTTGAGTCCAGTCTGGCCAACATGGTGAAACCCCTTTTCTATTAAAAAAAAATTAAAAAATTAGGCAGGTGTGGTGCCTCACGCCTGTAATCCCAGCACTTTGTGAGGCTGAGGTGGGCGGATCACCTAAGGTCAGGAGTTCAAGACCAGCCTGGCCAACATGGTGAAACCCCATCTCTTAAAAAAAAAAAAAAAAAAAAAAATTATATATATATATATATATATCTCAGCCAGATGTGGTGGCACGTATCTGTAATCCCAGATACTTGGGAGGCTGAGGCTGGAGAATCACTTGAATCCCAGTGGCAGAGGTTGCAGTGAGCCAAGATTGTGCCAAAGGACTCCAGCCTGGGGAACAGAGTGATACTCCATCTCAAAAAAAAAAAAAAAAAAAAAAAAAAGCACTGACAAGTCCCTAACACCAATATCAGTACAAATCTCTCAACCTAGCGCTTTAAGCCCTTTACATTTAATCCCAACCTAATACTGTGTCCATCCTGTATTAAAATACGTCTTTGGAGTCAACTTCCAAATGCTATTTATCCTATTTATATACCCTGTAGCCTGCCCGGAGTCCTTTGTCTCTTCCAGGCAGTACTCCCTTTCTAGAATACCTGCATCCCTTCTTCCACCAGTCAAAATTCTACCCATCCCTCAAGACCCAGTTCAACAATCCAGTCCCCCACAGAGCCTTACCAGACCTCACCTGTCAGAATTAACACCACCAAACCTATGCAGGCTGCTTACAGCCCTCTTTCATCATCTTCGGAAGAAAGCAGGGCCAGTAATCCAACCAATTAGCACCTTCCTATTTTTTGCTTTCAGAGCTACATCACCTTATTGGTGGTTCTTAGTTCTCATTATGTTAAGCATGCTCAACTTGAGTCCAGGAGTTCGAGACCAGCCTGGGCACACAAACCCCATCTCTACAGAAAATTTAAAAACGTAGCTGGGTGAGTGGCACCTGCCTTTGGTCCCAGGTACTCAGGAGGCTGAGGCAGGAGGATTGCTTGACCCCAGGAGGTTGAGGCTACAGTGAGCTATGAATGTGACACAGGGAGGCTCTGTGAATGAATAAATAAATGAACGCTTAAAACAATTTTCTTTTTTTTGTTTTTGAGATAGAGTCTCACTCTGTTTCCCAGGCAGAAGGGCACTGGCACGATCTCGGCTCACTGCAACCTCTGCCACTGGGATTCAAGTGATCCTCCAGCCTCAGCCTCCCAAGTAGCTGGGATTACAGATACGTTCCACCACATCTGGCTAATTTTTGTATTTTTTTTAGTAGAGAAGGGGTTTCATCATGTTGGCCAAGCTGGTCTCAAACTCCTGATCTCATGATCCTCCCACCTCCATCTCCCAAAGTGCTGGCATTACAGCCTTGCTTAAAACTATTAAATGACAGACCGGGCACAGTGGCTCACATCTGTAAACCCAACACTCTGGGAGGCTGAGACAGGTGGATCCCCTGAGTTCAGGAGTTCCAGACCAGCCTGGCCAACATGGTGAAACCCCATCTCTACTAAAAATACAAAAAATTAGCTGGGTGTGCTGGTGGGCGACTGTAATCCCAGCTAATTGGAAGGCTGAGGCAGGAGAATCACTTGAACCAGGAGGCAGAGGTTGCAATGAGCCGAGATCGTGGCCACTGCACTCCAGCCTGGGCAACAACAGGGAAACTCTGTCTCAATAAATTTTTTTTAAAATGGCCAGGCGTGGTGGCTCACGCCTGTAATCCAAGCACTTTGGAGGCCAAGGCAGGCGTATCAGCTGAGGTCGGGAGTTCAAGACCAGCCTGACCAACATGGTGAAATCCCGTCTTAAAAAAAAATTTAAAAATTTAAAAAAAAATTTAAAAACTGGCCAGGCACAGTGGCTCAAGTCTGTAATCCCAGCACTTTGGGAGGCAGAGGCGGGTGCATCACCTGAGGTCGGGAGTTAAAGACCAGCTTGACCAATGTGGAGAAACCCCGTCTCTACTAAAAATACAAAATTAGCTGGGCATGGTGGCACATGCCTGTAATCCCAGCTACTCGGGAGGCTGAGGCAGGAGAATCGCTTGAACTGAGGAGGCGGAGGTTGCGGTGAGCCAAGATCATGCCATTGCTCTCCAGTCTGGGCAACAAGAACAAAACTCCATCTTAAACAAAAAACAAACAAACAAACAAAACACTATTAAATGACTTGCCCGTGGTTACCCAGATAGTTATAATGGAGTCAGGTGAAAAACCTTAGAGGATTCGAACTTTTTTTTTTTTTTTTTTTGAGACCGAGTTTCGCTCTTGTTACCCAGGCAACGGCGCGATCTCGGCTCACCGCAACCTCCGCCTCCCGGGTTCAGGCAATTCTCCTGCCTCAGCCTCCCGAGTAGCTGGGATTACAGGCACGCCCCACCATGCCCAGCTAATTTTTTTGTATTTTTAGTAGAGACGGGGTTTCACCATGTTGACCAGGATGGTCTCGATCTCTCGACCTCGTGATCCACCCGCCTCGGCCTCCCAAAGTGCTGGGATTACAGGCTTGAGCCACCGCGCCCGGCCGATTCAACCTTTTTGAAGGCAGAAATTTTAACCGCAGCCCCTGCACTTCGCCCAGTACGTGAAATTCAGTAGGTGTTCAATAAATGTGTGTTACAGGTATGAACTACGGAAGGCAGAAATCCAGGTCCCTGTCAACCATTCAAAGCCGTGTCACTAAGGGTTTGTCTGTCGCCATCATTCCAGTATCCTCAGGGAGCAACAACGCTCTCCCTTCGCCCTGAGTTTAGCGAGGGGATTGGTCTTACCCGTCGGCCTGGGCGAGGCCACGGAACGTGCCCTCCCCGCCCGGACAGTGTCTCAGACCCTGGAATATGCCGTCCTCGGTGCTGAAGTGCTTCACTGTCCGGTCCGCGCAGCCCACCAGGATCTGCGGCAAAGAAGGGGGAGATGGCGAGGAGAACGAGGCTGCTGCGCCCAAGGCCTCCAGCTCCAGCTCGACCAGCGGCCACTCACCTGGGTCTCGCCGCCGGCGCCCCAGCACAGAGCGCTCACCGACTCCTCGCGCCGCGGCTGTCCTCCAGCCGTGAAGTTCGCCGCCTGTTTTCGCTGAAGATTTACCCCTGAGAGACGAGAATGTCAGTCACACCGGGAGCGCGAGTGCACCCCTGCACTTCCCGACGCCGAGCCTGCCACCCACCTTTCAAGATCCCAGTCTCGGTGCCGACCCACACATGGTTCCAACGCGCCGCAGCAGTCGCCATGACAGAGACCGGATACCGACGGTTCGCACTTCCGGCGCAGCCTGTGCGTCACCAGGGGGCAGCTAGTCAGATGCCGTGCAGCGTGTTTGCTGGGAGTTTAAAGAGCCGGAAGAGTAAAGTTCCTCTGCTTGTTTTGCTTTACAAAAATGAAACCAGGAAATACTTGTTTATAAAGACCGGAAGCACATATTGATCATTTTGCACTTGGAGTGAAACGCACCTTTCCTGGACTGCACGCAGTCGGGTCAAGCCAGCCCTGGTTTGTCTCCCGGCTCCATTATGTAATATGTATTCTGGACTATTAGACAAGAAGAGAGCCCACTTCAGAAACGATTCAAATCATTAATGATGTGTGAGGCTTCAAAATGGAGTGTAAGTCACAAAAGAAAGAAAGATTGGGCCGGGCGCGGTGGCTCAAACCTGTAATCCCAGCACTTTGGGAGGCCAAGGCGGGTGGATCACGAGGTCAAGAGATCGAGACCATCCCGGTCAACATGGTGAAACCCCGTCTCTACTAAAAATACAAAACATTAGCTGGGCATGGTGGCGCGTGCCTGTAATCCTAGATACTCAGGAGGCTGAGGCAGGAGAATTGCCTGAACCCAGGAGGCGGAGGTTGCGGTGAGCCGAGATTGCGCCATTGCACTCCAGCCTGGGTAACAAGAGCGAAACTCCGTCTCAAAAAAAAAAAAACCAGCTCAAGTTTAGGAAAAATCTGCAAACTTAACAGGAAACACGGCCGGGCTCAGTGGCTCGCGCCTGTAATCCCAGCATTTTGTGGGGGCCGAGCCTGGTAGATTACAAACTCAAGAGATCGAGACCATTCAACATTGTGAAACCCCGCCTCTACTAAAAACACAAAAATCAGTCGCGCATGGTGCAGAGCGCGCCTCTAGTCCCAGCTACTCGGCAGCGTCAGTTACGATAATTGCCTGAACCCGGGAAGCGGAGATTGCAGTGATTCCAAATCTTACCACGGCACTGCGGTTTGGGTAACAGGAGCAAAACTACGGCAGTGTAGTTTTTCTGAAGTAGATAGTAACTGCGCTGTATCATTGCATCATCTCTACTAATCTATTTTTGAAACAACAGTTATTCCCCCGAGAGGGGGGGTGCACCGTTCCTGGAAGTACTGCAATACCAGGTCGATGCGTGGAGTGGACGGAGCAAGCTCCTATTCCATCTCCTACTTCCAAAAATCCATTTAATATATTGTCCTCGGATAGAGGACGTATCAGATATTAAACTGATAAGAACAGATACTACACTTGATCTTAGCCAAAAGGCCGAGAAGCGATAACTTACACAACGCATCTTTGGCGGCCTTATCCTCTCTTTCCTTTATATAGTTATGGTAACTTTCTAGGCATTAATTGTTAAATTATTTTCCAATACAGTATATTTCCTAAACACAGTTTGCATTATTCTTTCTTCATAGAAGTGGCTATTCTTTTTTGAAAATAGATCTATTTCAGGGTCCTGTATTGCTTCTCCCGCCTGCCCTCTGCTTAGATTGTTTTGCATAAACCCGCCCCTATACTTTTTTGCGATCTTGGGATTGGTCCACCTATCCGTCGCGGACCAATCCTCCTTCCTCACTCCCCCACGCCCACTTCCCCGTTGTGATTGTGCGTTAGTCTCCCAGCCTAGAAGTTTTTGGGCGCTCCAGGGAACGGCGGGGCCATGCTGCAGGTGGCATCATCCCTCTCCTGGACGTTTCTTCTGAGAAGCACGGCGCGTTTTCTTTTTTCGAGACGGGGTTTCACCGTATTGGTTAGACTGGTCTCGAACTCATGACCTCAGGTGATCCACCCGCCTCGGTCTCCCAAAGTGCTGGGATTACTGGGATTACAGGAGTGAGCCACCGCGCCCGGCCCACGGCGCATTTTCAAAGCACAGGTTTTGGAGTACAAAAAGGGAGGTTGGGCTCCCTGCTCCCCAGTTCCTGACTTAATGGCCTGAGGCTTGTTACTTTAGGCTCTTGTCTCCTCCCCAGTTAAACTGGGAAATGGTGACACGAACTCTCGGGGGTTTGTGAGAACTGAGGACATAGGGGCGAGGCTCGACCCGCACCTTGCATTTGAACCCTCCACCTTCACTGAGAGGCAAACGCCCTGAGAAAGCCATTTCGGAGGTTCCTGATCCTCAACCGAGGGATCCCGCGGTGGGAGAAAGGTGCTGGCGCCTCAGCTTCGTTGTCCTCGGACCCACGCAATCCTTAAAGAGTTATTTTCAGGCCGATCAGCATCGCCGCGAGGCCACCCACCCGGAAGTCCGACCGACAAACCACAGGGCCTCTCCTCCAAGGCAGAGGCAGGATCCTTAGAGGATTGGGGAGAAGGAGAAGGAGGAGAGTATAGGTAAAATTGAAATGGAGTGATTTTTTTTTTTTTTTTTTTTTTTTTGAAACGGAGTTTCGCTCTTGTTACCCAGGCTGGAGTGCAATGGCGCGATCTCGGCTCACCGCAACCTCCGCCTCCTGGGTTCAGGCAATTCTCCTGCCTCAGCCTCCTGAGTAGCTGGGATTACAGGCACGTGCCCCATGCCCAGCTAATTTTTTGTATTTTTAGTAGAGACGGGGTTTCACCATGTTGACCAGGATGGTCTCGATCTCTCGACCTCGTGATCCACCTGCCTCGGCCTCCCAAAGTGCTGGGATTACAGGCTTGAGCCACCGCGCCCGGTCGGAGTGATTTTTTAAAATCGATCAAAGCAAACCCGCCAGAATGAAAGGGATTAATATGAGGCCTTGGCTGAGAAGAGACTTAAGATCTTGCTGTATTAATATAAATGTGGGCCGGGCACGGTGGCTCAAGCCTGTAATCCCAGCACTTTGGGAGGCCGAGGCGGGTGGATCACAAGGTCGAGAGATCGAGACCATCCCGGTCAACATAGTGAAACCCCGTCTCTACTAAAAATACAAAAAATTAGCTGGGCATGGTGGCACGTGCCTGTAATCCCAGCTACTCGGGAGGCTGAGGCAGGAGAATTGCCTGAACCCAGGAGGCGGAGGTTGTGGTGAGCCGAGATCGCGCCATTGCACTCCAGCCTGGGTAACAAGAGCGAAACTCTGTCTCAAAAAAAAAAAAAAAAAAAAAAAGAAAAAAATATAAATGTGGATCGTTCTGTTGGAAACCCCTTAACCTGGGTTGGAAAAAGAGGTGGTGACTTTTAATCAAAGCGTCTTGCATGACAGATCCTCCATGCAGGAGTGGGGCATTACATTCTCACTGATAAAATTTCAATCTGGAGGCCCGGCACGGTGGTTTACGCCTGTAATCCCAGCACTTTGGGAGGCTGAGGGATTTCTCCATGTTGGTCAGGCTGCTCTTGAACACTCCCAACTTTAGATAATGCGCCCCTCTTGGCTTCCCAAAGTACTGGGATTAAAGGCGTGAGCCACCAAGCCCAGCATTTTTTTTTTTTTTTTAATAAAGATGGAGTCTTGTTGGCCAGGCTGATCTCAAACTCCGGGCCTCAGTCGATCAGCCCTCCTCAACCTCCCCAAATGCTCAGATTACAAGCTTGAACCAGAGCACCTAGCTTTTCTTTTCTTTTCTTTTTTGAAGAAGAGAATGTTACAAACTTACTGAAAAATTCGGGCTTTGAATAGAGACCTTCCAAACAGGCTTTGTGTAAGCAACATGGCTGTTTATTCACCTGGCTGTGGGTAGGCTAAGGCCGAAAAGGGCATTAGTAAAGGGCAGTGGGATAGGAGTTGTTTGGTTTTTTTGTTTTTTGAGACGGAGTTTTGCTCTTGTTACCCAGGCTGGAGTGCAATGGCACGATCTCTGCTCACCGCAACCTCCGCCTCCTGGATTCAAGCAATTCTCCTGCCTCAGCCTCCCGAGTAGCTGGGACTACAGGGGCACGCCACCACGCCCAGCTAATTTTTGTATTTTTAGTAGAGACGAGGTTTCACCATGTTGACCAGGATGGTCTCAATCTCTTGACCAGGAGTTGGTTTTATAGGTTTGAGTAGTTTCTGGTCAACATGGTGAAACCCCGACTCTACTAAAATTACAAAAAATTAGCTGGGCATGGTGGCGTGTGCCTGTAATCCCAGCTACTCAGGAGGCTGAGGTAGGAGAATTGCCTGAACCCAGGAGGCGGAGGTTGCGGTGAGCCAAGATCGTGGCATTGCACTCCAGCCTGGGTAACAAGAGCGACACTCCGTCTCAAAAAAAAAAATAAATAAATAAAATACAAAGATTAGCCAGGTACGGTGGTGCACACCTGTCATCCTAGTTACTCAGAGGCTGAGGCATAAGAATTACTTGAACCTGGAAGGCAGAGGTTGCAGTGAGTCGAGATCTTGCCACTGCACTCCAGCCGGAGCGACAGAGCAAGACTCCATCCCCCTCAAAAAAAAAAAAAAAAAAAAAAAAAGAAGATTGTTGCATAGATACACTTGTGGCAGTGTGATTTGCTGCCTTCTTCCCCATCACCTATATCCGGCATTTCTCCCCATGCTGTCTCTCCCCAACTCCCCACCCACCCCAGAATTTTTTTTTTTTTTTTTTTTTTTTTTTTTTTTTTTTTTTTTTTTTGAGACGGAGTTTTGCTCTTGTTACCCAGGCTGGAGTGCAATGGTACGCGGCTCACCGCAACCTCCGCCTCCTAGGTTTAGGCAATTCTCCTGTCTCAGCCTCCTGAGTAGCTGGGATTACAAGCACGAGCCACCATGCCCAGCTAATTTTTTGTATTTTTAGTAGAGACGGGGTTTCACCTTGTTGACCAAGATGGTTTCGATCTCTCTTTTTTTTTTTTTCCCTTTAGAGACGGGGTTTCACCGTATTGGCCAGGCTGGTCTGGAACTCCTGACCTTGTGATCCACCCACCTCGGCCTCCCAAAGTGCTGGGATTACAGGCGTGAGCCACCAAGCCCGGCTGGTCTCGATCTCTTGACCTTGTGACTCACCCGCCTCGGCCTCCCAAAGTGCTGGGATTACAGGCTTGAGCCACCGCGCCCGGCCGTATTTATTTATTTTTTTTTTTGAGACAGAGTTTCGCTCTTGTTACCCAGGCTGGAGTGCAATGGCGCGATCTCGGCTCACTGCAACCTCCGCCTCCTGGGCTCAGGCAATTCTCCTGCCTCAGCCTCCTGAGTAGCTGGGATTACAGGCACGTGCCACCATGCCCAGCTAATTTTTTTTTGTACTTTTAGTAGAGACGGGGTTTCACCATGTTGACCTGGATGGTCTCTATCTCTTGACCTCATGATCCACCCGCCTCGGCCTCCCAAAGTGCTGGGATTACAGGCTTGAGCCACCGCGCCCGGCCTGGCCGTATTTTTTATTTTATTTTTTTTGAGGTGGAGTTTTGCTCTGTCCCTCAGGTTGGAGTACAGTGGTGTGATCTCAGCTCACTGCAATCTTTGCCTTCTGGTTTCAAGCAATTTCTCCTGCCTCAGCCCCCCAAGTAGCTGAGATTACAGGCTTGTGCCACTATAACTGGCTATTTGGCTTTTTGTGTTTTTTTCTTTCTTTCTTTTTATTTTTTTTTGAGATGGAGACTCACTCTGTTGGCCAGGCTAGAGTGTTATGGCACTTTCTCTGAGAGCTCCACCTCCCAGGCTCAAGCGATTCTCTTGCCTCAGCCTCCTGAGTTGCTGGGATTATAGGCGCCTGCCACCACGCCTGGCTAATTTTTTGTAGTATTAGTAGAGACAGGATTTTACCATGTTGGCCAAGCTGGTCTCAAACTCCTGATCCACCTGCCTTGGCCTCCCAAAATGCTGGGATTACAGGCATGAGCCACCACGACTGTTTTTTTTTTTTTTTTTTTTTGAGACGGAGTTTTGCTCTTGTTACCCAGGCTGGAGTGCAATGGCATGATCTCGGCTCAGCGAAACCTCCGCCTCCTGGGTTCAGGCAATTCTCCTGCCTCAGCTTCCTGAGTGGCTGGGATTGCAGGCACGCGCCACCATGCCCAGCTAATTTTTTGTATTTTTAGTAGAGATGGGGTTTCACCATGTTGACCAGGATGGTCTCGATCTCTTGACCTCGTGATCCACCCGCCTCGGCCTCCCAAAGTGCTGGGATTACAGGCTTGACCCACCGTGCCTGGTCTTTATTTATTTATATTTTTTTTGATATGGGTTTTTGCTTTTGTTGCCCTGGCTGTAGTGCAATGCTTTGAACTTGGCTCACTGCAGCCTTTGCCTCCTGGATTCAAGCGATTCTCCTGCTTCAGCCTCCATAGTAGCTGGGGTTACAGGCATGTGCCACCATGCATGGCTAAGTTTGTATTTTTAGTAGAGCTGGTGCTTCTCCGTGTTGGTCAGGCTGGTCTCAAACTCCCAATCTCAGGTGATCCACCTGCAAAAGTGCTGGGATTACAGGCACGAGCCAGCCACAGTGCTTGGACTGATTTTTGTATTTTTAGTAGAAACAGGATTTCACCATGTTGGCCAGGCTGGTCACAAACTCCTGACCTTAGGTAATTCACTCACCTTGGCCACCCAAAGTGCTAGGATTATAGGCATGAGCCGCTGCACCCAGCAATATTTATACATGTATGTATATACAAATATATATAATTTGTTTTGTTTGAGAAGGAGTCTCACTCTGCCACCAGGCTGCAGTACAGTGGTGTGATCTCAGCCCACTGCAACCTCTGACTCCCTTATTCAAGCAATTCTCCTGTCTCGGCCTCCTCAGTAGCTGGGATTACAGGCATGTGCCACCATGCCCAGCTAAGTTTTGTATTTTAGTAGAGATGGGGTTCCACTATGTTGTCCAGGATGGTCTTGATCTCTTGACCTTGTCATCCGCCCGCCTCGGCCTCCCAAAGTGTTGCGATTACAGCCGTGAGCCACCACACCCAGCCTCCTGTCTACCACCTTTCTTGATGAATCAGTTACTTCTTTGCCCGCAAATGCTGTAAATCCCAGGGAGTCTGAAATTCAGCATTATAGACCTTTTGGACTGTACAGTTCATTGTTTAGGAGATGGTAGGGGAGAGGGGCTCTCCTGTACACTGTGAGATTTGGCAGCATCCTTGGCCTATACCCACTAGATGTCAGTAGTGTATACCTCCCCTCTCTAAGTTGTGACAAAAATGTCTGAAGACATTGCTAAATGTCCCCTAGGGGGAAAAACCACCCTTGGCAGAGAACCACTGCACTATTTTAAATATTCAGTTTTTTGTTCATCTGTCTCATTTTGTCTCTCCTCCTTCCTCTGGGATGTAACCAAACAGCAGTCAACAAAGAGCAAGGCCTTGTTTTTTCTGGTGAGGGCATTGCTGCATTTGAGATAGAGGAGCTTGTCAGTCTCTTTTACTAAGGCGGGGAGATGGGGTTGGGAGGGGAGCAGGGGAAAGGCAGGGAATCAAGGAGCTGAATGTCCCATTGGACATCAAGTGGGAGGTTTGGTGTATCTGGGGCTTAGGGAAGATGTCCTGGCTAGAGACATTGTAGTCCGAGTCATTAATGTACAGAAGAAATGTGAGGAGCCAGGCAGGCTTCAATCATCCTGGCCTCCATTTCTCCATATTGTCCCAGTCTCAAGCAATTCTGGTGCCTCAGCTTCCCAAGTAGCTGGGATTACAGGCATGGGCCACTATGCCTGGCTAATTTTTTTTTTTTTTGAGACAGAGTTTCGCTTGTTACCCAGGCTGGAGTGCAATGGCACCATCTTGGCTCTGCAACCTCCGCCTCCTGGGTTCAGGCAATTCTCCTGCCTCAGCCTCCCGAGTAGCTGGGATTACAGGCACGCGCCACCATGCCCAGCTGATGTTTTGTATTTTTAGTAGAGACGGGGTTTCACTATGTTGACCAGGGTGGTCTCCATCTCTTGACCTCGTGATCCACCCGCCTGGGCCTCCCAATGTGCTGGGATTAGAGGCGTGAGCCACCGCGCCCAGCCGCCTGGCTAATTTTTTGAGGCAGAGTTTCATTTTTGTTCCCCAGGATGGAGTGCAGTGGTGTCATCTCGGCTTACAAAAAACAAAAACGGGGCCGGGCGCGGTGGCTCACGCCTATAATCCCAGCAATTTGGGAGGCCCAGGTGGGTGGATCACGAGCTGAGATCGAGACCATCTTGGTGAACATGGTGAAATCCCGTCTCTACTAAAAACACAAAAATTGGCCGGGCGCGGTGGCTCAAGCCTGTAATCCCAGCACTTTGGGAAGCCGAAGCGGGTGGATCACGAGGTCAAGAGATCGAGACCAGCCTGGTCAACATGGTGAAACCCCGTCTCTACTAAAAATACAAAAAATTAGCTGGGCATGGTGGCGTGTGCCTGTAATCCCAGCTACTCAGGAGGCTGAGGCAGGAGAATTGCCTGAACCCAGGAGGCGGAGGTTGCGGTGAGCCGAGATCGTGCCATTGCACTCCAGCCTGGGTTAACAAGAGCAAAACTTCGTCTCAAAAAAAAAAAAAAAAAACCACACACAAAAATTAGCTGGGCATGGTGGCGCATGCCTGTAGTCCCAGCTACTCGGGAGGCTGAGGCAGAATTACTTGAACCCAGGAGGTGGAGGTTGCAGTGAGCCGAGATCATGCCATTGCACTCCAGCCTGGGTGAAACTGCCACCTCAAAAAAACCGGCCAGAGAAGGGCGAAGTGGCTCAGGCCTGTAATCCTAGCACTTTGGGGAAGCTGAGGTGGATCACCTGATGTCAGGAGGTCAAGATCAGCCTATCATGGTGAAACCCCATCTTGAAAAAAAAAAAAAGGGCCAGATTCAGGTGTCTGTAATTCCAGCACCCAGCACTTTCAGAGGCAGAGGTGGGTTAACTGCTTGAACTGAGGAGTTCGAGAGCAGCCTGGGTAACATGGTGGAACTGTCTCTACGAAATATACAAAATTAGCTGGGCATGCTGGTGTGCACCTGTGGTCCCAGCTATTCAGGAAGCTGAGGTGGTAGAATCACTGGTGCCCAAGGTGCAGTGAGCCATGATCACACAAGTGTTCTCCAGCCTGGGTGAGAGCATGAGCATCTGAAAAAATTGAGAGCTGTTGACCTAACCATATATAACTCTACCCCACAGTATCCACAGGTTGGCACTGTTCCTATGCTCTCCCTTCTTTCCCAAGATCAGTGAAAAAGCAGTATTTGGGAGGTGGGAAGGTTACTTGAGGTTAGGACAAATCCTGGCCAGCCTGGCAAACACGGTGAGATAACCACCTCTACTGTAGTCCCAGCCCCAGCTGCTAACAAAGGAGATGCAAAAAAACAAAACCAAACCTCAGGACTAAGTATTTTATTATTTTCACCAACAACCAATAGAGTAACAGAAATTGAAATCGACAGCAACTGAAAGCAACTTGTTCACATTATGGTGCGGCCATGACACCCAAACCCCACAAGCTTTTCATTCAAGATTGCTTCAGTGGTGTACATCTAGGGAATAAGTCCCTTAAGTACGCTGATAAATTAAGCTCCTTGAATGCTGCCTTGGGTTAGGAAATCCAGTATTAGGCAGATTGCCTAATGAAGCTGGGTAAAACCCAGTTAAAACAGCCAACTTTCAGGGCTGACTTCCTTGTGCCCAGGTAGAGCCACCCAAAAGCATGATTTACAGTAAGGCTTAAAACATGAGCGGAAGACTAAAATGACAGTATGTAAACTTCAACAGCCAAGTTGTCCAAGGACTTGGAAAATTCACCTTCTAGTGTTCAAGAGAGATTCCTGCAGAGGAAAAAAAAGTTACTGGATTGAAAAATACAAATCAATAGAGTATTTAACATCATGTAACCTAAGAGCTTATTAAAGGCTATTTTAAAACCAGTTAAATATTTAATCAGATACCTACCACTTATATATACCTTGTTCTTTACTTGGACCTGAAAAAAATAAAACCAATGTTTTCAGTAAGTGATGATTACTCCCTTTCTCTGCACAGAAATATTTATGGTCCCTCAGACAGTTCCTTCTGGAACAAATCTTCCTCTTCTCCCCCAGCCAGTCCCAGTGGGTTCACCTTTACAGGCTCTGGGACTAGGACAGAGAGTAAGACATGTGGAAGTTTCTTCATTGGGAAATTTTAGCTTAGCCCAACTTATTAGGTCTACTCACCTATAACTTCAGTTTGGAAGTGAGCAGAAACATCTAGTTTTCCTGCGAAATCAAGAAAAAGTTTTGAGAGACTTTCATTTTATCATCTTTCCAGTGATCTGTTGCTTGCCAGAAGGTTTCAGTGCACATTTTACGGGAAGCACTTAGGCCAAGAAACTTACTGGCTATAAAGAAGGCCTCCTCAATTAACTTCGAATTTTTAGAATGTCATTGCAAAGCAGGCTCACAGCTCAGAAAACACCATTCAGTCACACTGATCAGACTGGGGCGGTATTCAACTCATCACTGGTGAGCAGGACCTCACTGGTGTTCAATTGATTAAAGATTTTGGGTTAGGCAAGTAATGCCTGTACACATTCATCCAGAACACAGTTCTATCACACACAAAAATCACAGCCATTGATGGTAGCCATTGCAAAGGCATTTACCTGAAATTCCCCTTGGGCTGTAGAGAGAAGGTGCAGGCCCTGAAGGGAAGAATACCTAGTCAGTAACGTCTTTGATACCCTGCACCAAGTTGTTCCCACCCAAGTTATCATTCCTAGGAAATCAGATTTTAGAGTCTCAACAGCAAGTTATCAGCCGAACGAGATTCTATTTAAGTCATCACAGAGGCCTAAAAAGGCACTTTTTCTTGCTCTATATGCTGAATGTACTCAATACAGTGAAATCACTCACCTTTCGGCCCAAAAGCAGGTTATTGGTAACAGCACCTAGAGAAAAACAAGTCTGTGAACAAAAGATTCCTCAGACATATGGTGACCTCTCACTCCCTTGCATTCTCAAGTTTCTCAGGTGTTCATGTGTTTTCACTGCCAGTCATAGTGAGCTAGTTTGATTCATCATAGAAACTTCCTACTTGGTGGTATAAGCTGCAAGTAACAACAACAAAAAAATCAACTAACCTCTCTGCTTCGAAGGCTTTTCAATGGTAAATAGCAACAAACTGCTCCTAAAAAAAAAAAAAAATTCAATTAGCTAATTATCCCCAAACAGCTAAAACTATTAGTTATGGTTGCTAGGGACAAGCTAAGAAAAGGTAACCAAATGCCCCAGACAGTTCCTTATGGAACAAGCTTTCATGCTCTCTTCCAGTCAACACTGGTGGGTTCACAATTTGTTCCCAAGCTTTAACGTGGGGTGGGGGGGCGCGGGGGTAAGGCTGAACCCTGGAGAAAGCTACAACTGAAAAGCATTTGTCTGATCCTGGGTAGTGGGTATCTGAGAGAAAAAAGGGGAGGCTTTGAAAGATCACTACAGAGAACAAGAGAAGCCAGCAAACTTTATGGGTTAAGCAGCCTTTGGAAACAAGTATCAAGATGGCCAAGTTGGATAATAGACTCACACAATTCGAAAAGCAACTTACTGTAAGATAGAAGCAGACTATCAGCAGGACTACCTGGAAAGGACAGCAAATTAGTTATTTTAAGGTATTAGGATGGAACGAAGCTTCCTCATCAACAACAACTGCCATCAGAACTCTAACATGCTATTAACTTTTGTACCTCACAGAACATCAGCTCATCAATTCAAATCATCTGACAGTAATGTGATATGTGGATGAGGGAAACACGCACCCTTAGTACGTACTGGGCTGCCTTCTCCCTCTCCAGAAAATCATTTCAAGAGAAACAAGATGGAAGGCGACAAAAAGCAGTATTTCTTCCGCCGACCACTTTCCTCTTGTAAACATTTAGAGATGACATCCCCCAATTACTTTGGATAATTACCTGTATTCACCCTGGGAGGCATCTGAATTCCTCAGGATAGACTGTGAGATGCTGCAAACAGAGGAAGGCATTTTATGAACCTAAAAATAGCCACTCGAAAACACCGGAAGACCTCTGGCCCACTTCTCAGTCGTAAGATGACATCACTTTTAAGTTCAGCCATATGCTTGTCGTTTTGCGTTCATCACGGAGTGGTTATCTAGCAAGGTGTCCTCCGTAATAGCATAAACCAGGTAAACCTACCTGGAGCATTACTGTAACGTTGGCTTTGCCGAAAGATGGGTCTTGTCCCGTTTCTTCACCAGTAAGCTCTTGTGGGCTGAACATCTGCAAAATAACACCCTTCAGTAACACCTCAGAATGAATTCAGTAGGCCCCTGACGTTTGTTGCTTATAGTACAGTGCTACTCAGAAATGTGTTTTCTCCACTAATCCATCAGAAAGAGAGAGTTCAGTTAGTAAAATCATCCCCGTAGCGACTTCCACACACACAAACAGCAGAGACTAAGAAATGGCCATAAAAACTTACTGTAACGATAGATTTCTTTTCGACTCAAACGTGCGCGTAAACCCTGCAAACGAGAGCCCAAGACGACATTATGTCAGCACAGGGTTATTTCCAAAACGCTATTTTCAGAAGCGACGGCTAAGTAGGAGGTTTGCAGGGCCCGTCTCCTCAGAGTTAACTTATCCTCACGGAGCTCAGTACAGGTCTGTGAAATGTTCCTCATCATAGAGAGGGCCACCTGCACCGCCCGCCAACGCCATTTTGTCCTTCATAAAGGCCCGATGCTGCTTTGAAGCCTCGAGGCCAAGCCCAAGACCTCAACGGCCCGTCATCCTGGCCAGACAGCTACAACACAGAAGGTATTGCGCGTGCTATGCTGTATTCGCATAACGTACAAAAACACCAAACACTTAAGACCTACGAAACCTACAGAGACACTCACCTAACCAAGTGCAGCAATGAGACCGACGAGAGCGCCGAGAGACGCTTAAATATCTTCCCGCAGAGGCCCACGGGATTTGTGGGTGGGGCAATGGAAGCGCACGCGCATACGTTGACTGCCTGCGACCCCGGGGAGTTGTGGGTAGAGAGATCCGGGGCAGGGGGGCGTGGACAAAGCGCTACCTGAACTTGCCGCGCGAAAAAGGCGCGCATGCGCCCTACAGAAGCGCGCTCGCTCACCTACCGCATTGCGGCTTAGCTTTCTGTCCCGGTGCACGTGGCTGGAGCGGTGAGATCACTGCTTCACTCCGATCCTGGGCTGCCGGTCGGATCCGAGCTTCGACAATCTAAGCTCGCGCCGATCCTGGACTGACGGTCGGATCTGAGCACCCTGTTCTGAGCTCCCCTTTGCCCACACACACCTTAAACCGGTGTGCAGGATCCGCCTCCATGGAACCACAGCCTCCTGAAGCCTTGACGAACGTCGTCTCGGTTCCGAGCCAGCAGCCCAGCTCACATTCGGAGGCTGGTGTCCAGGCTCTCAGCGCGGGGGACGACTCAGGTACTGGATCCCGGGCTAAGCTCAGGTGGAGGTCCCCTTTCGTGGAGCCATTTCGGGAGCGTTAAGTCAGGGCGTAAGTGCTCCACTGAAGACAGGATCTGATTTTTTCCTAACTGGCCCCCGATGTCCTGCATCCTGGTGAGTTTTCTTTAGATCTTGGACTACTACGGGCCAACGTTAGCTAACATTTGTGGAGCACCTTTTTTTTTTTTTTTTTTTTTTTTTTGTTGTTGTTGTTGTTGTTGTTGTTGTTTTGAGACAGAGTGTCGCTCTGTTTCCCAGTCTGGAATGCAGTGGGGGATCTCGGCTCACTGCAACCTCCGCCTCCCGGGTTCAAGCGATTCTCCCACTTCAACCTCCCGAGAATCGGGGACTACAGGCGCATGCCACCACGCCCGTCTAATTTTTGGTAGTTTTAGTAGAGATGGGGTTTCACCGTGTTACCCATGCTGGTCTCCATTTCCTGACTCGTGATGAGCCCACCTCGGCCTCCCAAAGTGTTGGGATTACAGGCGTGAGCCACTGCGCCGGGCCAATGGTTCCTCTTTTTAAGCAAACCATATGAATCTGTTAATCCACAAAATCTTGAGCTAGGTGGGATGACAACCCCCATTTTATAGAAGCCGAACCTTAAAGAGCTGCGGCAGTGCTGCCTGCTGCACCTCCTGTCTGATCAGAGTGGTTGCAGTCAGCTTATAGAGACCGTCAGCATTAGTTCAGTCGTTTGTGGTAAACACCTACGTGTACAAGCACACTTTATAAACATTTTTCCCCCCCATACGGTGTCTCCCTCTGCTGCCCAGGCTGTAGTGCGTTGGAGCGATCTCGGTTCACTGCATCCGCCTCCCAGGTTCAAGCGTTTCTCCTGCCTCAGCCTCGCGAGTAGCTGGGATAACAGGCGCCCGCCATCATGCCTGACTAATTTTTGTATTTTTAGTAGAGACGGGGTTTCACCATGTTGGCCAGGCTGGTTTCGATCTCTTGACCTCAGGTGATCTGCCCGCCTCGGCCTCCCAAAGTGCTGGAATTACAGGCGTGAGCCACCGCTCCTGGCCCAGAATATTTTATTTTTAAACTTGTGGAGATGGGGTCTCATTATGTTAGCCAGGCTGTGCTTTACTACTTTTACATCACTCAGTTCTGTTCTCAAGATAGTTGGGGGGTGAGGGCAAGCAAATACACAGGAAACAAATGGAATAATTGGGCGCTGTTTCTCATCCCTCATCTGGCCCAATTTTCTCTCTCTTGGGGACACTTCCCATGCATACCCCAGGGGAACATTGACACTGCATAAATGCTGAGGGAACTGCAGTTTGAACGAAGTTATTTTAGACTGGAATAAGTTTATTCACTAATCATTAAGTGCTTGTTCTGTGCATGATAAAACATATGGGGGAAAGATAAGACACTCTGCTCTCTAGGAGATTTTCATCTGTTGGGAAATTAGGATTTGAGTACAAGTAGCCTAAGTCGGGGACTGAAAAGTTGTAGCAAAATAGACAGAAAATGAGATAGGCCTGGTGTTTGGCTCAGCACTTAGTTTTTTTTTTTTTTTTTTTGAGATGGAGTTTTGCTCTTGTCTCCCAGGCTGGAGTGCAATGACAAAATCTCAGCTCACTGCAATCTCCAGCCCCCTGAGTTCAAGCAGTTCTCCTGCTTCTGCCTCCTGAGTAGCCGAGATTACAGGCACCCACCACAACACTCAACTAATTTTTTCTTTTTAAGTAGAGACAGGGTTTTACCATTTGGCCAGGCTGGTCTCGAACTCCTGACCTCAGGTGATCCTCCCACCTTTTCCTCCCGAAATGCTGGGATTACTGGTTTGAGTCACCAGGCCCGGCCTGGATCAGCATTTTGGGAGGCAAGGCTGGAGGATCTCTTGAGCCCAAAAGTTGAAGACCAGCCTAAGCAACATAGTGAAAACTCATCTCTACGAAGGGGGAAAAAAAAGAAAAGAAAAAATTAGCCAGGAGTGGTGGTGCATGCTTGTAGCCCCAGCTACTTGGGAGGCTAAGGTGGGAGGATTGCTTGAGCCCAGGAGGTTGAGGCTGCAGGTGAGCTGTGATCCAGCCACTGCACTGCACTCCAACTTGGATGACAGAGTGAGACCTTGTGTCAAAAAACAAAAGACAAAGTGGGACAGATAAACTATGGGAAATCAAGATGGCCCAGAGTGGGCAGACAAGGCTGGGGAGGTTTTGTGTGGGAATGGCAGTTGGGAAATGCTTTATAGAGTGTCTGAGCCTGCAAGGGTAGATAGATAGACAGACTTGGGAGGGGAATTCTAGTTAAAGAAACACTTTGAGCACGGGCTTGGTGCTAGGAAAAGAAGGAAGTATATGGATATAATTCATGAAAGATGGGCAAAAGGGGACAACTAGAATATAAAACTGGAAAGTATTTCCTGGGGAAAGCCAGATAAGCAGGAGCTTGCATGCAAAGCTAAATCATTTGAATTATTGATAGAAAAAAACCAGGGAGAGTTTTTAAGTAGGAAGGTGATAAAACGTGGGTGGATATGATGGAGACAAGGAAATAAATTAGATTGCCATAGTAGCTTAGGCAAGAAGATTCAATACTAGTAAGTGTAACGGCAGTGGAAATGGAAAAGAGGGGATTTAGATAGGGGGTCTCCAACTCACTTTTAGAAATCAGGTAACTAATGTGGGTAAGGGAAATGAACTGAGTTGGGACTCTGGTGAACTGGGCAAGCCCTTTCACTGCTGCAGCTGATTGTTGCTTTGTGACCATATTGTCTCTGTGTGATCAGATAGTCACAGTTTTCAAGAGAATCCAGAAGTCCATAATAGTGTATTTACTCATTTTAAAATGTTGAATTTAAAATTTTTGGCTGGGCGTTGGTGGCTCACACCTGTAATCCTGGCACTTTGGGAGGCTGAAGTGGGTGGGTCACCTGAGTCTCAAAGACAAACAAATAAGAAAACCCAAATATGCCTGTGGCCAAAGGTGCCCAATGATTGTGAATTTGCAACCATTGTGTAGTGACCTAGAATTCACTAGAAAAGAGGGTATTAAAAAAAAATAAAGTAGGCCAGGTGTGGTGTCTCAAGCCTGTAATTCCAGCAGTTTGGGAGGCTGAGGCAGGTGGATCACCTGAGGTCTGGAGTTCAAGACCAGCCAGGGCAATATGGTGAAAACACTGTCTCTACTAAAAATACAAAAATTAGCTCGACATGGTGGCATGTGTGTGTAATCCCATCTACTCAGGAGACTGAGGCATGAGAATTGCTTGAACCCGGGAGGTGGAGGTTGCATTGAGCTGAGATTGTGCCATTGCACTCTAGCCTGGGCAACAAACGGAGTGAGACTGTCTCAAAAACAAAAAAACAAATCCCTGCTTGTGACAGGGCCAGTGGCTCACCTCTGTAATCCCAGCATTTTGGGAGGCCAAGGGGAGAGGGTCCCTTGAGGGCCAGAGGTTTGAGACCAGCCTGGGCAACACAGTAAGATGAAACCCCCATCTCTACAGGAAAAAAAGTCCTGCCTTCCTATCACCACTCCTTCCCCAAGCCTAATCTGCCACTTCCCACCCACAGTAAACGCCCTGGGGTTTGATTTTATCTAGGTAAATCATCCCATTATCTTTATTGTCTAGCAGAATACAATTTGCAAATAGGACTCAATATACACTTATTAGTTATCTACATAAGTTTTTTTTTTTCAGTTTGCCTCTTTCTGTTGGGAAGGCTGTAAATTTTTAAATGATCTTTTCCCAGCAAATTCATTTACTGTCCTACCTTACCAAATGATTTTGCTCTTAAAGAGAGGGCTGGAAAGTTTGTTCAAAGAGCAACCCTGCCCCCACCTGGCAGCAGGAGGGAATGCCTCAATTAATAGAGGAGACGGATATGCAAATTCCCTCCCAGTGCTTGGCAGGGAACTGGGAGACAGTAAGTCAGGACCATGGAGAAAATGTTTAAGTTCAGTTTTTCTTTTCTTTCTTTCTTTCTTTTTTTTTTTTTTTTGAGACAGAGTCTCACTCTATCACCCAGGCTGGAGTACAGTGGTGTGAAGTGGTGTGATCTCAGCTCACTGCGACCTCTGCCTCCCAGGCTGAAGCGATTCTCTTGCCTCTGCTTCCTGAGTAGCAGGCACCTGCCACCACACCCGGCTACTTTTCATATTTTAGTAGGGACAGGGTTTTGCTATGTTGGACAGGCTGGTCTTGAACTCCTGACCTCAAGTGATCCTCTTGCCTTGGCTTCCCAAAGTGCTGGGATTACAGGCCTGAGCCATCACGGCGGGCCTCCATTTCTTTTCTTTTTATTTTATTTTATTTATTTATTTATTTTTTTGAGATGGAGTTTCACTCTTGTTACCCAGGCTGGAGTGCAATGGCGCAATCTCGGCTCACCGCAACCTCCGCCTCCTGGGTTCAGGCAATTCTCCTGCCTCAGCTTCCTGAGTAGCTGGGATTACAGGCACACGCCACCATGCCCAGCTAATTTTTTTGTACTTTGTA